GATGGGTGAGAGAGAGAGAGAGAGCGAGAGAGAGAGTGAGAGAGAGAGAGAGTGAATGTGCGTATGTGTGTGAGAGATAGAGAGAAATATAGAGATGTATAGATAGAGCTTGATTGAAAGAGAGATTGACTAAGAGAGAAAGAGAGAGAGCGAGACAGACAGACAGACAGACAGAGAATGATTGGAATTTACAGAACACCTCGATTACCTTGTACTTGTACATGTGTGTGACGTGAGGATTTGCAAAAGATGCTCGTAGGCCTAGCTCTTTAGAAGCAGTGAGACAAACAAAGGGGTTTTCCCCACCCCACGCATCAATGCTCCCACCACAGACGCCATTCAATACACGCCGATCCCCCAGGCTTTCTAGGAGACGCGCTCCTCTCACCTTCGCCCTACCATGCGCGTGTGTTTTTCGCTTCGCTCACCTTTACCGGTCTTGTTGTGTGTGGTTGGCCCCCCGATGGAAGTGCACGGCAGTGCTGAACAGTCTTTGTTGTCGTATGGAGGACTCTCTGTGTCACGCGACTATGACGGCTCAGCATACGCTTGCTGGCGTTGATGGTTTGCCGCTCGCTTCCAGTGTTGGTTTGGGTTTTTTTTTAGGAGCTAGTCACAAGTCTTTCACTGGGATTCTGTGGACGGGTTGTGTTGTGTGTAGTAGGCCTACCTGTCTGTGTCTGCATCTGTGTTTGCTATAATTTTGTGGACACGTCTTGTTGTCTATAGGGCTTTTTTTTCATCGATTGTGTGTTTCACGAAGGATCGTTGGTGTTGCGGTCGATGTTAACTGAAATTATCTTTACGGAGATTATGGTTAACTTGAAAACACGCTGTTGTTTAGCATGATGATCATTAATCCAGGTCGAGAATGGCGTCCAGATGATTGTTGTCCGGTTATGTGACCAATTTTAAAAACTCTTGCTTATTTTACCCCTTTCGAAAACAGGGTAGAATGCTTTATTATATTTCTCCCCCCTCCCCCCTCTCTCTCTCTCTCTCTCTCTCTCTCTCTCTCTCTCTCTCTCTCCCCTCTCTCTCTCTCTCTCTCACGCACACACCCACTGTCTGTCTGTCTGTCTGTCTCTCTCTCTCTGTCTGTCTGTCTGTCTGTCTGTCTCAGGGAGTTTGCACCACCTTGAATATCACCGAAAAAGAAAAAGAATAAAATCTAGAAAAATGTTTTTTACAATCGAGGTCGTAGAAAAACGATTTCATATTAGCGATACATAAGTCCCTCTTCAACTGGGGTGCTCACGATAAAGGTTCCCGTGGCATTTTAGTCCAACGTGCAACTGTGAGCGATTGGGTGGGGTTGCTCTTACTTGTAACTTTCTCCACCTCGTCTGGGCTGGAGGTGCATGCCGATTCCATAATACAAAGGAACGTACAGTGCTAGTGGGCAACGCTAAAATATGAAGGAAAAAAAAGATCAAAGCCAAAGCAACAGCTGTAACAGCGGGAAGGAGTCTCCTACTTGTTTGTGTAGTGGAATTGTTTATAGGATTAGCCAAATCTAGAAAATAATTACATCTTAGGCCAAACGTGGTTGTCAAGATAGGGTGGAAAATAGGATAAAAGAGAGTTCTTGTTGCTTAAACTTGTGTCTTCGGGTCCCACTAGAAGAAAGGAAAAGAGAGGGAGAGAGAGATAGCGATGTATAGATAGAGATTGATTGAGAGAGATTGATTGATTGAGATAGATAGATAGATAGACATAGAGAGAGAGGGGAGAGAGAGAGAGAAAGAGAGAGAGAGGGAGAGAGAGGGAGG